AGGGGGGGGGGGGGGGGGGCACGGGGGCACTTTCGTTGGCACCCTTGCCGTAAAGAGTTGCCATAAGCGGCTATACATAGCCCGAGTTTCCAGCCGAGCACACCAGTCACTGCACGCGGTGCGTCCAAAGAGCAACCTTTCTTGACCTATCGAGGGCCTGCCGTGCTAGTGAGCCTCGTTGCTAACACGAAGAAGTAGGAGTTACGCCGCATCGTTCGAATGTCCAGACTCAGCCAAATAACAGCCCCCCCCTCAGCTTGGGAACCAATCAGTCGATCGTGCTCTGATTCTTGATACGGGGCCATGCACACTGAAATTAATTCCGCGCTGTTTCCGCGCGTGCGTTAGGATGCCATATTTCCCCCCCCCGTTCACGTGACCCGCACCGTGCAGCAAAAATAACAACGAGTACAACATCGACGGTGGTGCTATCAGAAACTCGCGTTGCCCGGTTGCCAACATCAAGAACGACGCCGGCGAGGACAGCGATGACAACAACGACAACAACAACAACAACAACAACAACAACAACAACAACAACACATCAGCAACACAAAACGCCTGCCTAGACTCGCCAGGAGAAAGCAACACCGACGGTAACAACAGCCATTACATCAACAACAACAGCCATTACAACAACAACAACAACAACAACAACAACAACAGCTGGCAGGAAACAACCGGGGCTTGTGCAGAAGCAAGAAAAAAAAAACAGCCAGCAAACACTCAAGCACACCTCTTGAACACTCGACTCACAGCTCGCTTTCTGTTGAAGACGACCGCCAACAGCCCCACGTACGCCACGTACATCATGGCCGTCAGGACCACGTTGAGGCCGGCGTTGGCGTTACTCGACACGACGCAAGCGCAGATAAAAAAACAGATGGTCAACACCTGTTGTGAGGGTATTCGTAGTCGTCGTAATGATCGCGACCGCCACAGCCGGTGAAGCAGGGCACGGGGCATGCGGGGGGGCGGCGGCGACGATATTGATCAGCACAATCGCAAGGTCCACAATGGGAACGGCTTGAGGGATAAAAACAAGAAGGGGATTTCAATATTCCAGGCGGGGGGGGGGGGGCTAATCTTCATTCGGGATGGTGTCTGGTACACCCGTGTTGCAAGTCCTACAAAAAGCAAAAAGTATATGACAAAGGGGCTCCGTGAAAATCGATCGTACCCCGCGTAAGCCCCCATGATGGGTTGCCCAGCGCACCGTCTGGTGCACACCTTTGTCACTGCTGGTGCTCCTCACACAGATAGCTACGTGCCATGAAACTTGCAGGATACCTCAAGCATGTTGTGTTCTACACGCGCAGACATTTGGTTTGGCCTTTTTTCGCTCTCAACCTAGCAAATGCCGTGCTATCAAAAGTGAAAGGGCTGCTGCTTCAAGCCCGTTCCGCAGCTGTCAGATCTAAACTGCACGCTGCTAGACCCGGGCGAAGGAGTTGACGAACTCGCTCGAGGCTTCGCCAGAGTGGATAACATAGGCATAGGTAGCATTGAGGGGTTGTCGAAATTTGGGATCGCCACCACGAGGGTCATTCCAGTGAAGCACTCTATCGCCTATATGTCGACCAAACACGCGCCACACGTCTACCTGCAATTTTGTTGGAATTCTCTGGCAAGTTCCCCCGCAATTGGACCGTTAACGCTCTAGACCCGCTCAAATAACGATCCCGTCCAAATCTTTTATGGCACCACGCTGTAGAGACATGCCTAAGGTTGCTTTCGAAGGTTGGCCACATTTGGGATCGCCACTACAGCCGGAGTTGTTGACGAACGAATAACGGCCTCAGCCAATAGGAATTCGGCGGCTGTGGGGGCTCCGCGTGATCGATGTCTTGTCGTAATGAAAAAAAAATCGTTTTTCTGGGGACTTGCAACACGGGTGGGTAGACAAAAGGTTTGCGGGGGGGGGGGGAAGCAAACCGACGGAGTTGGTGCGGTGCAAGACGCAGTGAACTCATCAATCTGCGGGCCTGCTGCTTCAACTCAACTTTTACTTTCAGTCATTTTGCTCGATCCAAGCTGCTCGATCCTGGGTTCACACAGGAGGAGACCACACAGGACTTGCATTCTCCGCCTACTTCGGCGGTGCTTGCCTTGAATATTGTTGTGCATGCAACCAGAAACGAAGACGTTAAGCGTCAAAAGGCTTCCGTGTTGGTGGTGCGGTGGTGTTCATTTAATAATTCCGAATGATGTCGCGGCTGAGCCTCTACTGCTGTAGCCTTTGGCGCAACGTCGACATACGTACCTCCCACCAACCCCTGTACCAGGAGGAACGTCGCAAAATCCTTTACTGTGAAGAGTTCAGTCACCACACGCCCGATGTTGAGGATTGGCTGGAGGGGACAATCTCTCCGCGGGGTCATCTGAAAATTACTTCTCCAAAGAGAGAAGGGAGCGATCGGGTAGTCTACAAGAGTATCGTGAGCTTTGAACCAGCCCAAGCACCCACGAAGAATACGGCACGGTGGGTACCATGCGCTCTAAACGGGATGCACGTCTAAAATTTACAAATTTAGTACCTGCTTGGGTCGGGGGAGTTCGTGTTGCGCCTGCTGTGTACGGCAGTATGGGGGTGTTATCTCCGCCATACAGGTGTCTGCGGCGGGGGGGCGGTGTTCTCATGTTTTCTGTAGGGTCGGCGAGGATGCTGGGCTTCGTGTGCTACTGGATATCGAGAAGAGACAAACAATGCACCTACGAACCCCTTCAATCGAGTACTATTGCACATGCCGCGGCTGGTGCGCGGTCCTCTCCTTGTGTGACCGCGCAGCAAACAGCGGGGAACGGTATATCTAGACACTGGGGACACAAGAGCTGGTATCTAAAACGTGCCAACCAGCCGCAGGGCACAAAAATCCGGTGTCGTGATACCAAGCAACACGGAAATAAGGCCAGCGCCTGGAAAAACTCACCGCCATAGCAAGGACGACGGTGTTGAGCGACTTTCGCTTGTCCAGCTGCATGTGAGCGTCGATGAACGGGGCGGGAATCATTGCAGTGATAAGCTTTCCTCGGTGCTTCCGTCCGTCCCTCCGCTTTCGCCTCTCCTCCGACAAATTCAGCTGGTCGCGACCCGCCGTGGGTTGCACTTACACCACCCGGTGGGATTTTCCAACAGATCCCTTTGCCGTCCGGCCTTTGCAGCACGCACACTCCCGGCCACGCACACTCTCACGCACTCCAACTTGTTGGTGGCCAAGTCAAGTCCAGAAGCAGGGCAGCTCTGGCTCGGGCGAAAAAAGGGGGGGTCGTGGATTTGTGGCGGGGGATGGAATAATTCATGCGTAGCCGCGCAACCCCCAATGCGGAGATATGGTCGTGGTGGCAGGCTGCAGGGTTGCTTTCAACAATCAATACCCTCTCCCTCCCCCTGCTCCCACCATGAAGAAGCCCACTGCCCAAGAAGTGAAGAGGAAGATAGATTCTAAGGTATGTGCATGGTGGTTGTGTCGCCGAAGATATAATGATTGCGACGGAGGTGAAGGAGCAAGCGCCCAGTTATCCCGTATGCGTATCACACCGCACATTTTTTAAACACAAAAACACAAACCAGTCGCGGTGCATCCGACAGCTATCAACGACAACTCCGTACTTCAGCAGTGGGCACGAAGGTACCCCATCGCCCTATTGAATTGTCCTGAAGGTCATTGTCGTTCAACCCTGATTCATGATGCTTCAGAGTCCCCCCCGTGTGTGTCTTGTGCATTCTCTCAAAGTGAAGGATGTTCTCCACCTGTTGAATCACCCCGCTGTTCACCGCCACTGCTGTCCGTGGGGCAGCTGCGTAGAGAGCGAAGAGGGAGAGAGAGAGAGAGAGCCTGTTTGGTAGCACCTCCCTGGTCTTCCCGTCGAGCCTACAACCAGTCAACTCCAGCTCGTGGCATTTGAATTAATTTCTTTCCGCGCTTCTGGGCGTGGGCCGTCTGGGCCCTGGCGTACTAAATACCATACCAGGTACTATTTACCGTAGGTTGCATAAGATGTCACACCCCTGGACCGATTTTCAAAGCTCGATTACTCCACGACGAAGATGATGCCGACGTATATGTACGTTTTCGGAAAGCTCTCGACGAGACCGTTCCAAGGCTGCCATTTCCGGCACCGTCACTGTTTTTCCTGCCGAGATACCGAGCTTCCAAAATCGGTCCAGGGGATGTGATGTCTTACATCATGCAACCTACGGTAGATACAAACCACACGCGGCTGTCGGTACCTCCTTCAGTGATGAGTAGACTAATCCTCATAGCACTCCTGCACCCCGCAGGTTCCATAACATACCGCACCCGGACCAATTTTCACAGCTCAGTTGCTCCGTAGCAAAAACGTTGACCGCAGTGTCAATGCTGCGTTGGAACCATCCCGTGGAAACCCAAGCCCAAAAACTCATCATCTGATTTTGGTACAATATTCTCCTCGTGCAAGAGTATGTAGTCCAGCTTTGGACAGGGGATGGGAGTGGGAGTGTTACGCAACCTACAGCAGGTACTACATTAACTCCGTGGTGAAGTGTCGTGCTGTAGTCGTGATCCTTGTCTCAAACGAGCCCTTCGGTGGTTGTTAATCGTCTCAAACACGACCCAGATCTTCCAGCTGCAGTCGTCCCTCCTGGCGGAGGATGTCGGGGAGATCGACGAGGCGCTGCTGCGAGAGTGCGCGGCGTGGTTCTGTCCCCAGCACCTGCAGGACATCGTCATCGAGAGGAGCGAGGCCGAGGGGAGGTGAGTTGTGCGATCTCTGCCCTGCAAGAGATATTTGCTGGCGAACAGAATGTATTGGAACTAGCTAATTGGAACCCACTTTGCAAATGTGAAGGTAAATCGGCTGCTGTCCCCTAAGTTGAATTCACAAGATATGCCCTGCCCAGACCAAAACCAAACAATAAAAGTCGAATATGCATACAACACTCTGTACACAGCTTTAATCTTTTTTCTTTTTCGGTTCCTTGGGGCTCACTGGGCTCTTCGAGTCATACATAACACGTCAGCCGTGTGAGCTGTTGGACTTGGGAAACGTCATAACCAACTGGCACCTGGCACCTGCGTGTTGACTTTGTCGTGTCATCGTGCGTCGCCCCTTGATGGCACTTGCTCTCATGAGCCCTCTCCGTAGGGACCACTTGTATGAATTGGTTGTGATAGATCAGCGCAGTTTTTCCTCCATGTTTTTCCCATTTTTGCTGGTGGACGCTGTTTTCCTGTTTTTGTGATAATTTCACCGTTGGCCCAGGTGCGGTTGGCCCGGCTGCGGCAACAAGCTTCCCTCCTGGCGCCTGGCCGCGCCGCTGGTGTTCGACCTGCCCGAGGGAGAGCAGCTAGGGAGGTTCTGCGAGCGATCGTGCATGGCGGTGAGAGAAAGCGTAGGGGGCAAAGAGAGTTCGTTGCACGGAAGGATGGAGGACGGAAAAGTATCTGAAACAGGAACGCCCGGTCGTCTTCGGAGCCTGTATGGTCTGCACAACATTTTCCTGCAAGCAGCACAGCAGTGTTCCTGTGAAGAGGTTGAAACGACGGCTGCCGTGCGATACGAAATATCCAGGACACTCCGTGTTGGAATACTCAATGTCAGTCAATAGTATTTGTATTGCTGTAAACAACAGTACCTAGGTAGTCACCTTCGTAGTGTTTACTGGAATATTCTTCGGTATGTATATTGATTCAGTGATCGGATTATTGTATACACCTGGTACGGGCTATGCATTGAACCGTAGGAGTATGGTACATAGGACCTAAAAGATGTCCTTGTTATGTTGCTACAGGTCGGATATAACCGTCTGTTACCGTGATCGGTACGTTGCAATGCCCGTGTGTGTTTCCTTTCCGTGATGAGGATGGATGGCTCGCCCCCGTGGTGCTCGCCATTGCTGTCTCGCTCCCTTCTCTTTTATTACCTTTCGGCCAACTAAGCGCCAATTCGAATAATCTTCTCTGGTCCACAAACAAGAGTACTTTACAGTCACTCTGTGCGCTGTTCGATACTGCAGTGACCAATGCCAGATAAAACCAAGCAAGGTTTCCGCTCCAACCGACAGGTGTACACCAATACTTCGTGCGCATCTTCGCTGGAAAGAGCCGACCACATGGACCGTGTGAAACTTGCTGGGACTCGGCAAACACGCACGCGTTCCCACGACCCAGATTGACCTTCTTTTCCGCCCCTGCGCCCGCCCCCAACGATCGGCGCCTGTCTATCTCCCATTTGTCTGCCCCGTGGTGAGAGCAGAAGACGAAGGTATTCATGTCCGCTATCCCACCGACGCCTCCGTACACGAGGGAAAACCTCGTCCGTCTCGCCTGCCCGCCCCCGGCCCCTTCCTCCGCGGAAGGATCCACCGGCGTCAACGGCGACAGTCATGGCGCCGCAGGAGCCGGTGCCAAGAAGGTCTACAAGCGGGCCCGGCGAAGAGACCTCCCCCCTCCCAAGGAGCGCCTACCTGCTGGTGGTGGTGCTGCTGCTGCAGCAGATCGTGTTGTTGCCGATAACGCCGGCAAGGGTGCCGGTGTCGACCGCCAGGAGGGAGGATCGGAGAAGAGCGCCGGTGAAGAAGCGCCGGCCCTTGCTGTTCCAGGGAAGCAAGCTGCTGATGGAGAGGCCGCCGTCTCTTCCTCGGCCGCGGTTTCTGACAAAGGCGGAGACGACGAGCGCGTGGGAACGCCGGCAGAGGCAAGCGACATCACCTACAGCAGCAGTGGTCGTGGAGAAGGCATGGCAACAGGTACGGCAGCGCCCGGAGAGGGCGCCGGTGCCAATGCAAGCGGCGAGAACGCTACGGCGGCCGTCCGAGCCGCGCTGGAAAGCGTGTCAATTTCTGCCGAGGAGGAGAAGGATGCTTGTAGTGCGGTGGCATCTTCTGCTCCTGTGGTTGCTGCTGCTACTGCTGCGTCGCCATCACCACCTGCGTCGGATGTTGCGGATGTTCGAGAAGCGACAACGGCGGTAAAAGCACCGGCGCCGGCACCCACACCATCAAGTACCGCGTGGGAGAGCGTAAGGTTCAGTCGACCAAGCGGCAGCAGCAGCAGCAGCAGCAGCAGCGGCGGCGGTTATTGCTCGGCTTCGGTTGTGTCGCGACACGCCTCCTTGGCTGCCGCGGCAGCCGAAACCGCCGCGATGGACACGGACAAACCTTCCCCCTCAGGAGGAAGTGTTTCCGAAGCGAGATCCAGAGAAGTCAAGTCCTTCTCCTCCTCCTCCGCCACCAACACCCCTGACGAGAGCTCGCAGCCGCCGCCGGCGGATTCATCCCGGTCGCCGTCGCCGACCCGGCGCAGGCGTGTTTCCTTCGCCGAAGGCACCAAAGAGAGCCCCCAACCGAACTCGTCTTCGCCCCCGGTGTCTTCCGCCCGCGGTAGGGCCGCCGCTGCGAAGCAGGCGAGGGCGGCGGCGGCGGCGGTGGCGACAGGCACCGGGCCGGGCAGGCGAAGAGGGCGCGGACGCGGCTCGGGTAAAGCTTCATCTGGCAGAGGCCGAGGCGGAAAGCCGGCGGCGGCGGCGAGGAAGAGCGTGCTGGGAGGGGTCGTCGAGCGCGCCCCCTCGGTGCCCGCTCCGATGGAGGTGAGGGTGGGCGGTCGCGCACAGGGCGGCGCGGGGGCGGTGGAGGGACACCTCCCGAAGATCGAGGCCGACCTGTCCTTTCGAGTTATGCCCCGCGGGGGCTATCCCGGGGTCGGCGGCGGCGGTGGTCCGGGTTTCGCGGGCGGCGGGGGGGGTGGAGTGGAGGAGGCGAAAGGTGCCCGAGAGTACGGGCTTGGCGTGGACGGAGGACCCTTGACGGCGGATGAGGTGGAGGACGAGAAGGAGATGGAAGAAGAAGAAGAAGAAGAAGAAGATGGGTCAGAGGGCGAGGAACACAGTAAAGACGACGCGGACGAGAACGATAGGTCTGTGTTGTTGCCGCCGTGCTTGGGCTACTTTATGCTGTCGTTAGAGCATGACGAATGTGCTTTGTGTCGGGAACGGAGGAGGAAGCCTCCCTTCTGCTTCCTCCGACATACTTCTCGCTTTCCTTTCATGTCGTATCCCGAACCACGTCCTAAGCCGCGCACTATCTTAAGTCTCTACTATTTTTTGCGTGTCGTCTTCTACAACGAAAAAAGGGCCATCTGGCGCGAGACCTTCGGAGAAGAGATGCCTGCCGAGGTGTCGTCGGGGTCATGGATAGACATGGACGCCGTCCGAGACAAGGAGATGCGGGAGGAATTCGTGAGTTTTACCTCCAGACGTTGCATGTTTTTTAGATGTTTTTTTCACTACTAAATTACCGCCACCTTGACGATGTACGTTGTGTGGAGAATTTGCTGGAACTCTTCTGTAGTTGCGCAGTATTTCGCTTGACGGAACTATTGGGGTCCGTTTCACAAGATCCTACAGATGGATCGGAAGATGCCAAGAACCATCAGTGTTCGAGGGATATTCCGAACAGACACCAATCGTGCCGATTCGTTTACCTGCTTGGCTACCGTGTCTTACCCCTCAATTGTCTGGCCCGCGTCTGGACAGGCGTCGTCGATTGCCCCCTTCGCCCTGCTGTGGAGCGCCCTGTCGGAGTGGGTATCCCCAGAGACGCGCGCTGTGTGCCAAGCTGGTCGAGCAGCAGCAGCAGCAGCAGCGGCGGCGGCGGCGGCGGCGGCGGCGGCGTCGCCGCTCCCGTCTGCGGGCAAGGCCAAAACGGGTGGCGTCAATGGTCGTTCGTTGTCAGAAATCGGGGACGTTGCCGCTGAACCGGCGGGTTCTCCGGCGATTACGGGGGCATCGTGTTGCGACGTTTCGGAGCAGGGCCCACGTATCGACAGCAGTCACAGTAGCAGCGCATCGCCCGGTCACTTAGGGCCCGTACCCGCCGACTTCCAAGCTAGAAAGGCGGGCGCGGTGGCGGAAGCGATAGAGGCGGAGATGAGTCGTCACGCCAAGCGTAACAGAGACCGCCGGAAAGCTAACGCTAACGACAGCCCCAACAAGGGAACTGGCGACAGCTGTGCTAGAGGCGGGGGCGCCACCGTTGGCGAGGGTCCGACTCTCACGGGTGCCTTGCGCCACACCGGAGTGAGCACCATGGTCAATATGCACCTGGCGCAGGCGGAGCGAGCGCTGATAGCGGCCGCCCCAACCTTACACGTTCGTGGCGGCGGTGGCGGTGGTGGTGATGGCGACGGTCGTTCCGGGATCCTTCAGACGAGCGGGCAACACAACAACGTGGGATCCCGGAAAAAGTGGATTTGGTCAGACAAGGCCACCGGGGCGAGGCAAGGTGCAAGGGTGCCAGGGGGCTGGGTAGAGGAGGAGGGGGCGACGGCGGCGGCTGCGGCGGTGGCGGCGGAAGCGGTACCGCTCAAAGCGCCACCGGCCGGCGGTGTCTGCAAGGCGAATGGGGAGACTACCGGCGATGATGTACCAGCCGTGGCGACGGCATCAGGCACAGGGACAACGGCAAGAGGAGAAAACGCCGACGCCGAGACCAATCAACGCGAGTCGTCGGCAGTAGCACTAGAAGGCCGACAGACCCGGGAAGCTCCAGCGGCGGAGCCAGCGGCGGCGGCGGCGGCAGGAGAGCACGTCGCCGGAGGAGGGGCGGAGTGTCGGCGAGCCGTGGCCGCGGTGATCGACACCCTCAACGCTGCCGTCGGGAGCGCGAGCTCCGCCACGGCGGCTGACCTGTCCATCGCCCAGTGGAAGGTGGTGTCCGTCGTGCTCCTGACGGCGGTGGGCCTCGGCGCCGGAGCGATCGGCGGCGGTGGCGGCGACGATGAAGGAGGAGCGGCGGCGCCCGGGGTGACCGGCGAAGAGGCGGAGGTCGCGGCGGAGGCGTGCGCGAGGTTGTGCGGGGCAGAGATGGGCGTGTCGGCGAGAGAGTTCCGGATTCTCGTTGACGTCATGCTCGAAGAGTAACCTTCTTTTGCGCGCGGGGGGGGGGGGGCGATGGCATAAAAAATGTCCCGATTTTTGTCGGCCTTTCGTCTGGCGTACTTTCGGTGTCCTGGCGTGGCGAATTGACTTTGCAGATGATTTTCTTCATTCAATGTCTTGGTAGGGTGTGGCGAATGTTATGCTGTGGATGTCCCCAGGCGCTGGATGCCCAGTGACCTCGGGTGTTTGCGCAAACCGATTGGGTCTTACGGTTGCATGGGTCACGGTTTTATTGCTGTCGCGTTTTGTAGATACCACCTGCAAAGCCAGATGGAAACAGAAACGGATGCGTACTCGAAGAACTTGCGCGCACGTGTTTAGGTGCAACCACGGCGCGCGCGCATAAAGCCTTGCTACCGTATTCTGCGATGTCAACCGCTGTGAACAGCAGTAGTAATACCCCGGGGATAGCCTCGGGCTCAACCCAAGCCCTATTCCTTTTTGCCGCACAGGGCGGATTGACGAGGGAAAAAATAATGACCTGTGTGTCGGGTATAACGTCATGAAGAACAATATAATAACGAAGAATCCCTGCACGTGAGGATGGGTCACCCACGCAACCGGCGCGGCCTTGAGCACTCAACCAACAGCAGCGCTTGACTTCGCTGCCGCTGTGCCGGCAATGAGTTAAACACAGGACACGAAGAAAGTCTTCCTTGCAAGGACTAGGCGCCCCCCGCGCGATGATTGATTGATTGGGGATGACTTAGCAACGGCGTGTGCACGTGAAGTTGGCGGCACGAACACTTTTCTCGGAGAACGAAAAGAAAGTTGTACCTTTTCACGCCACGAGCCGGCGATCGCTGGCGAGATTCTCCCGGTGGTGTGTAGAGAAGAAGAAGCGAACAGCACCATCTCCGTGGTCAGCCGGACAAGATACGATTGAAAGTATTTATTCGCCCGTTTTTACTAAATAATACCTGGCACTCCGTAACGGACAGGGCCCCGAGATGCGGGGACAACAACCAACCCCCACGTGCGGCGAATACCTGCCAGTTATGATACTTCCAACCGGACTCCACCCTCTCCTCGGTAGGATACGTATTGTAAGTCGTCGTGACAAACACTGACTCAACCGTGCTCCATCACAAGCAAGCCCGTATCGTCGCTACATCTTCCCCTTCCCCTTCCCTTGGCAAAAAAACAAAATACCAAGAAAATCGCATGCAGGAATTAACCCTCGCGAACTGAGAGCGAGTGTGGGTAGAAAGCAGCGAAACGTCCGAAGCTCAACCCCCCCCCCCCCCCCCCCGGGGGGGAACGGGAAAAAAATTTCCATAAAAAAAAAAATTTTCCCTTATGGGTGAGTTGAGGAACCTTTCTAGTTTAACATGGTTGGAAAATGGATGGGTGGGCAATGGGGGGGGGGTTTTGCTTCCCCCAGGGGGGGGGAAACTTTTGAATGGGAAAAATTGGGAAAAAAAAATTCCCGAAGAAAAAAAGTTAAAACAAAAAAAGGGTGGAGCCCTGGTAGTTTGGAAAAAAACAAAAAAAGAAAAAAAAATTAGCGATTGAATATTAAAATAATGGCAAGAATTGAAACAAAACATTGGTCCATCGGGATAAACCCCCCCCCTTTTCCCCCCCCATCAAGAATAACATGGAGTAAGGATGGATGGGGGTGGGAATTTAAAAACGCCTTCGTGGGATAATAAAAACAAACAAAAATTAAATGGTCGTTGTAATAATTCGCGAAACCGGGAATGGATGGGATGGGTCCTTTGGATCGGCGCCCCGGGGTCCGCCCGTGAAAAATTAAGAAAAAGGGGGGGAGGGTCAAAAA